AATGGACTCCAGTCTCATAACTAAGCTGGAGACAGGCTAGTTGATGACCGTACGGTAGCAAATTCAGTATGTTCATGCATAGTGCTACATAATAATCTTGTTAGCAGTCCAGCAATCCAGTCATTGTGGTGTTTATTCAATAATGCATGATTAAAGAAAGCATGGTTTGTGGTAATTTATGAACTGGTAAGAGCCAGTAGCTGATGTTTGAAGGTCACATCATCTTGTGCTATGGAATTGCTTTCATATCAATTAGACCTGTTGATTGTTCATCCCTAGCCTTTAGAGCAGTGACATCTATGACAGATGGAGTCAAAATGGAGGGCATAGCATTGCAACAGACGCTGTCTCTCCTCCATATGCATGGTGTATACTCATACAAAACAGACAAGGCTTGTTATCACAATACTATGTCTACTACTTTTCTGTTTTTGACCTGTTTTGTGGACATTGCTTCCTATAATGTAATAAGCACCCAGTTCACCAGGAGCAGGGGTCTCAAACTGCCAGCTCGTGGGCTGGTTGCATTATACAGAGGCCACGCCCACCCCAGCTCCGGCAATGCAAAAAAAGTCGTGATACGTCGCAACATGTCACGTGATGTGACGAGTTTGACACCTGTTGACCAGGAGGGTGTCAAAAAGTAAAGCTGGCACTGAAATTGTGTAACAAAGCCCAAATGTCAACCACACATTCAAAAGAAGCAACAAGTAGAAGCTTGTTAAAGAGAGATGTAAGGAGAAATTTCCTGACAGAACAATTAATCAATGGAACACCTTGCCTCCTGGAATTGTGTGTGCTCCTTCCATTTTTCAGGGATGGTATAAGGTCTCCTGCCTAGAGCAGAGAGTTGGATTAGAAGACCTCCCTTCCATTCTTATGCTTGTATGATTCTAATCAGTTAGCACAGGAAATAGTTCTCTTCCCCTCTGTATATTTGTAATGGTGTGTCTGTGTGTGTGTGTGTGTGTGTGTGTGTGTGTGTGTCTGTGTGTGTACATGCATCAGAATGCAAAGCTGCCATTTTCCTGTATGTCACTAGAATAAAAGAAAAGGATGTGGGTAGTTTTTCCTCTGTGCCAGATTCTTACACTAAGGGCCACTTTAGTGAAATATGAGAAGGAAGTCAGGTGAAGAAGGGCGAAGAACCTGGCAGTCAAACAGCCAGGAGCCTGGATTAAAGACTCAGAAAGCTTAATCAAGTGTCTTAAAGTTGGACCGCTTTAATAAAAGAGAGTTTTATCAGCCTACATAGAATAAACAGCAGCTTCACAATAAAAAATATTGTTGGCTGGCTTTTTACATTGCAGAGATCTCTTTGATGGGTAATTAAACGAAACACAAAAATATCTATCACAAATGATTTTGAAGTATTTTCTTTTTGCACTTTCTACAGCTGTTTAGAGCCCCCCCCTCCCTTAACTACTGGTAAAATACTTCTAAATGAGATAAAAGCTCCTCCAGCAGACAATATTATGTCTTTTCTTCCCCAGAAGATTAGTTGACACCTTAACAAGAATCCTTCCCCAGTCTTTGATTCGTAACAGACACACTTTACGTGAGGAAAGGATACAAGGTTCTGTTAGCAAGAGTACCAAAGTTTCCCAGAGCCAGGAACATCTGACTCACCATCATGTGAATGCACATGCAAACCTCTTTACCAAGTTCCAAAAATATAAAATAACTACCCATGATCATTCAGGAAGACACTGAAACATACATCACTTCAGCTGAGAAGCAGAACCAGGGAATGATTGCTAAAGCTAGTTTGAAACGATGAGGTATGATTTATCTAGACTATTTGTACTGTGTAAGTGATAAATCTAAGCTATCTAGTAAAATCCTAAATTAATGGGAACTATGCCTATTGAACTCTATGGAGCTTAGTATAGGATCATATAGTATGTATATGCACAGTGTATGTATTGACATATACATGTGTACATACTGATTATGTACATTTGCATATATGTATACTTGTATATATTCTGAAGTATATATATACATGTATGTGCAAATATATATATATATATATATATTACTGTATGTACATTTGTGTGCATATATACATACACATGTGGTATGAGCAATGGTTTCTCATACATGTATACATGCACATATACATGTATACATACTGGTGTGTATGTGTGTGTATCTCTTCTTACCCCGATGTGTGATATTGTCTTCCTCATTCTCAGTCCTCTACCAGAGGCTTGGGAATTTGAGGTTTCTGCACACTCTTAACTGTGAAAATACATTTTATTTTATTCAATCTTGTCCGATTCTTGCACAATGCCTGGACAATTTTTTCTGGCAAGGTTTTCAGAAGTGATTGTCACTGCCTTCTTCCTAGGGCTGACACCCAGCTGTCTTTGTGCCTAAAGTAGGACTAGAACTCACGGTTTCTGTTTCTAGTCTCATGCTTTAACTGCTACACAAAACTGGCTCTCAATATATATGTGTGTATGGTGTATATGTATATGTATATGTATACATACATCTCTCTCTCTGTCTCTGTCTGTCTGTCTGTCTGTCTGTCTGTCTGTCTGTCTCTCTCTCTCTCTCTCTCTCTATATATATATATATATATATAGAGAGAGAGAGAGAGAGAGAGAGACAGAGACAGAGAATCCATCAAGAGCAGAACAGATACATTTAATTGAACTGTATGATATACCATTAATAATAATTCCAAAACATCTAGAGCAACATTTGAACACCAGCAGCATTTATAATATCAATCAATTGGAAAAGGCAACTTTCCTTGTAACAGCTTATACTCCTGTGATGATACCTTTACTATATAACAGTATGTCTTTATTCCAGGTCTTTCGGAAAGATTTTATAGGTGAGAAAAATGCCAAATGCAGTCTAAACATCTGGCTGACTATGCAACCGATCATCATAATTTATTACCTAAATTAACATTAATTTCCAGAATAATCTTGTATAGTCCTTGGTGTTCTCTGTGCTTGGCAGTACACTGAAGATGTTACCTAGTTTGGTAACAAAGCATCTGAAAAAAAAAAACAGCAGGTGCAACACCAAGGATTCCAGAATTCAGCCCTAAGCTACATGTTTTCTGCTGTGTCTTGGCTGTCAAAAGCGAATGCCAAAAATCCTTTTTCATTCTCTTTAGTTTATTCTTTTTCTTTTAAAAATTCTGTAAAAGGCTTTCTTTTGCTCTCTGAATCATAATAGATTACTAGGGTAGAATATCTTATAAATTAAGCTAGCTTATCTAGAGAACCAATTTGGACTAGTTGTTAAGATATTGAAGTGGAAGTAGGGAGACTTGAGTTCTAATTCTGCCTGAGAGATGAGAGACAGCTGAGTGAGTTGGGCCAGGCCCCTCTCTGTCAGCCTTAGGAAGAAGGCAGCAATAAAAACCATTTCTGAAAATCCATCTGGAAAACTGCATGGAGTCATATCTGACTTGAAGGCAAAATAAAAATATTAGGGCCATCTTATCTGCACTGCAGAAATTCTAATTCATTCACTAAACGACAGCAGAGTCTATTATTAAACTAGTTAAACTAGTTTTCTTCATTCACACAATACAGTGCAGGTGGTTTTTAAAAATGCATTATATGTTTAATAAAAAGAACAAAGAAAAACAGAACAGCAACAGAAAAGCAGGAAGTGATATGAGCAATAATGGTTTCTCATACAAGTATACATGAATATAAAGGCTTTGGGGTTCTGAAATTGTTGATAAATAAGTTATTTTGGGGACTTCATCTAAAAGAGCTGATGGCTAAGGTGAACAATTTGTAACAAAAGTGATGCAATTACTCAATGTAACTACTGTATAAGAAATTTACTAAGGAGTTAGATGTTTTCTAGAGTGAACTCTGCACAATAGAATACTCTGCATTTGAGAATAAACATTAACTTTCTGTATGACATCTTTGAAAATCTTGGTTGACAGAAAATATCAGAAGGCTTTTATGTACAGGTAAGACCTCACTTACCTGGAATACCAATAAGAGGCTTATTACTCACCTATCAAAACAATGAAGACTGGCTTGAGAATAAGGACTACCTGTACATCATTTGTGTAATGACATTTTAATGGCTTGTATTAGACAACTATACTTGTAGCTACTCCTTCTTTAAACAAAAGAAATATTTTTGCACATACAAATCATATTCAATGTTCATTCTAGATACTCCTCCAGGATGAGCCTAAGAAATAAAATAGCTGTTTTTCTCCAACCTACACACTGCATGCCATTTTCACACTTCATATTAAATCTTAAAATGACACACTGTGCCATTGGTGCCTTCCGAAATTTGTTTTATCTCCGGTGGAAAAACAACAACCCTAAATAAGACAGGACCTAACAAATCCAGGTAGTCTTCAACTTACGACCACAATTGAGCCCAAAATTTAGGTTGTTAAATGAGAAATTTGTGAAGTGAGTTTTGCCTCTTCCATAGAGTTTTCCCAAGACCAACAAGGGCAATTCTGTTGTGCTAGCTCCTATTTAATCAGCCTGCATGCAATGCTTTAAATATAGTTTTATTGCTACGCCAGTGCTGGTTTGATTAAATTGTGAAGACTATCAGATTCAGCTTTGCTCCCTATGCCATCTGTCTGGTAAACTGGCAAGATTTGTTTTTCTCGCCACGTATATGTATACATCCAAACTAGACTTGTATCGTTTCTCTGGGCCACATATATGCATAATTTATTTTATTTTTTAATTTTTTTTTTGGTCATGTTTATGCAATGTATATTGGACGTGGTTACCCTTTGAGAGCTGTAGGTAACGAAATCTCATTTTAATGTATGCTGATTAGCGTACACTTAAAGTGACAATAAAGTTGCTATGCTAGGCTAAAGCTAGGCTGAATTCGGCCGAACGACGATTATTAATCCTGCCTTCCACTGCGCCCACCTGCTTAGAGGAGCGCAGCAAAATGAAGCCGCCCGCAGCGAACCCTGACAGCCACCGGGCCAAAGACACCCCACTCCCCCCGCCCCCCCCAAGTACCTTCGGGGCCGGGACTCCCGCACGGTTCCCGGCCCGAAGCCTTTGCCAATCAGACGGAAAGAGGCGGAGCTGCGCGCGCCGAGCCCGCCCTCCTTTGCACGCCGAGGATGCAGCCGACGCCGGCGATTGAAGGAAGGGGAGAGCGGTGACGGCGGCGGCTGCGCAGGGCTCTCGTCACGGCCTTGGCTAGGGAGCCAAGGGGGCCTGGCGGCCGGAGCACCTGCTGCTGCCAGCCCCGCCAAGGGCTTGTGGGCTGGCCTGAGCTGAAAGCGCTCCGAAGCCGGGCGGAAACTGGTGTCTGGCTTCCCGCGCAAGCCGGCCAAGCTACGTCCCGAAGCTGCGGCAAGGGAAAGCCCGGCAAGGCTCCGCTGGGCGCGCGTCGGTGGAAGGGAGCTGAGCGAGGGCATCGCCGGCTGGGCAGCGTGAATGAAAGTTTGGTCCGAATTCCGTGCAGGGTAAGGAACAAAGCGTCCCGCCATCCCCGCCCTTGCTTGTCGCCCGTCTCCTCCTCCTCTTGGTGGCCACGGAGAAGCGCGGGAGCCCCTTCCCCGCAGAACGTCCTGCCTCGCTTCCAGCTTTGCTCCCTTCGCTGTCGCTTGGGCCTCTGCCATCCCCGATAGAGAAAGGAGCCTCTGCTTCCCTCTAGCCCTGGCCGTCCCGTCCCGTCGCCGATCCCCTCGGCCTGCCCCCCCCTTTTTTGCTCAAGCCTCAAACTGGTCCCAGTCTTTCCTTTTCCTTTTTTCTTTTTGTTCCCTGGTTGGAGAGAGCGAGTCTTCCTCCTCCGAGACTTTGAAAAGCCCCCCCCCAAGGAATTGCTATTAACCTTCCCCCCCCCACCCCAGTTCCCTGGACGTTTTTGACACTTTCCACCCTGGGCTTGTTCAGCTGCCACTTTGGATCCTTTGAAGTTTCTCAGGTTCCCTGGCGGGAGCACCGGCGGGAGCACCGTTCCTGTTTAGCACAGGCTGTGGTGGTTTTCCCCTCTGCCCCCACCATGGACAGGAAGACACCCTTGCCCCCCAAAATCCTGAATGCTTTTGCCAACTGGAAGGAATTGAGGCTGAGCAGCAGCAAGTTCCAAGGATTCCTTGGGAGAAAATGGTGTTTTATACTTCTTCTCACCTCATTCTACTCCCCTCCCGTAACCTTCCTTCACTTTGCTGTTGTTCCTCCCCCCCCCCCCATAAACGAGGGACAAAATCTTGCCCCTCTGTGCTTTTGGCAAACTACTTTCTGTTCCTGATACTATTGCTCCTCCTTGCATTTCTTCTGCTTTCTCTAGCATCCTTTCATAAGTAAAAGAAATTGTTTCCTTGCTTTCGTGCCCTGATTTGACCCGAACCTGTGATAATTATAGGTAGGCCTTTGTGTAGTTTTCTTGGCAACAGTATGGAAATAGTTTGTCGTTTACCTTCGGTGTGTGCTCGATTTTCCAGTCTCCTTAACAGCTGAAGGATTTCCTGGTGGTGTCCTATCCAAGGACTAAACATATCAAATCGGCCAAAGTCAGCCAGATGCTACTGATTGCTGTGACTTGTTTTCCCATAAGGTTTCAATATAAGGTTCTTTTTGGAAGATGGGGCTAGATGTGTGAAAAAGTGAGTTTCTTTTAAATATTGTCCTTGGGACTGGTGAATAAATAGAGCTCTTGAGGGGGTTGTTTACTTCTTGGAAAGTAAACATATGTTTCATATGTTGTAGGATTGGTGGGGCTCCGACAGTTTGTTATCTAAACTTGGCTGCTGGGAGAAGCAAACTATATCTTATTGGTTTTCTCCCTTGAAACATGTGTTTAGTTATAATTTGTAGTACAGGCAATCCTCAACCTACAACCATGTATTTAGCAGCCATTTGAAGTTACAACAGTATTGAAAAAAGTGACTTGTGACTGTTTTTCATATTTACAACTGTTGCAGCATCCCCATAGTCATGTGATCAAAATTCAGACACCTGGCAACTGGCATGTATTTTTTGATGTTGCAGTGTCCGGAGTCATGGAATCACCTTTTGTGACTTTCTAACAATCAAAGTCAATGGGGAAGCCAGAGTGACTTACCAACTATGTTACTAAACTGCAGTGATTCATTTAACAACTCTGGCAAGGAAGGTCATCAAATGGGCCAAGAACTCATTTAACAACTGTCTTGCTTAGTGGTGGAAATTTTGGGCTCAATTGTGGTCATAAGTCAGGGATTACCTGTATATGTTGCTTTCAAGCTTTTCAAGCCTGGTTGGGGAAGACAGAATTGCCATGGCTGGCAGATGTGGTAGCAAACTTCTGTTGAGTTGTGCTGTGCTTCGTATATGATGAAGTGCCTTTCTCTAACAAAGTAGCTGCACTTTGCGTACAAGTCCTAGGATAGGGGTCTTCAAACTTGGCCCTTTTATGACTTGTGGACTTCAACTCCCAGAATTCCTCAGCCAGGCTGAGTTCACAAGTCATAAAAGAGCCAAGTTTGTAGACCCCTGTCCTAGGATAATGTCCAAATGCTATGAAGAACCTTTTGGAGATTCAGTCTAAAGCAGTGGTTCTCAACCTTTTTAATGCCGCGACCCCCAACCGGTCGTAAGTCGAGGACTACTCAAGTGGTGCAGCACCGTTTGCAGAATGGGACTTTTGGCGGGCTCAGCAGGGCAGAGACAGCCTGGACAATTCCTATTGGCTTTTAAAAGCCAATAGAATTAGACTCTATTCAAGAGAGTCTATTCTATTGGCTTTCAAAAGCCAATAGAATAAAAGGGAGTAGCACAGCTAAGAAAAAGGGAAAAAAAATGGCGGACTGCGTGAAATGGTCGTTCGACCCCATGAAATGGTCGTTCGACCCCAAATGGGGTCCCGACCCACAGGTTTGAGAACCACTGGTCTAAAGGATTGGCCTAAGCTATAAACAGTGGTATGCAGTGTTTGGATCTAAAACAGACAAAATGTTGGCAACTCCTCAAAGAAGCCACACACCTTTTTCTGGGCTGGCCCAGGTATGTGTGTGTGTGTGTGTTTACAGATCTTATGGAATGCAATCACATGTCATTCGCTGTTGTCTCCTGAACTCCAACATGTATTTTCCCAAGCCTAGCCCTAGAAGGACCTGTTTAAAGATACAGCAAAAGTAGCCATGCTGCAAATGAAGCATTCTTGCTTGCTTCAGATTTGAACACTGCAGATTGCTAGGCTCTACCTTTGAACTAGAAGACGTCTTACTTTTGCTTTGAAAACCAGTGACATGAAATGGAAGATTACAATTGTTTTCTTTTACTCATGAGAGACAGTTCCTGAGAACTGGCTGTTAACAACAAAGTTGGAAACTTCTGCAATGTAAATAGAATAGCAGTCTCCAAACTATGATTTGCAGTTGTGATGGACTTTATTTTCAGCAGGGCAGGGCAAAAGAACAAATGTTGCATGGACAAAAGTTGAAGTTCAACCCTCAACATCTCAAGATAAGGACAGATTATAGTGGGAAACCCTGAAAAATCTATTGCCCAGGTTAGCTGAGGTCTCCAATACTGGGTTGACGGACCTGTGGTCTGATTCAGTGGCTTGATTCAAACAGCATCCCAAATCATCATGTGGTTTCTTAATATGTTGGATTAACCTGGTCAGGTGTAGGGTAGTCCATAAACTGTAGATAAATAAATCACAATGTTATTTTTCTGGAAGGCACCAGACTATGGGAGTTGGTGTAGTATTTAGATCTGTTTCTTCTCCCACTGTCCCAGTTTTTCTGGTTTATTTGGAAAACCTCTGCTGAAAACTCAGCTCAGATCTGAAGAGCAATGAGTGACCTTAGATAGATGTGGTATTGGTCCGTCAAACTTATTTTATTGTTGCTATAATGTTTTAGTCTCTTTGGAATAATAGGTGGAATAATAATGCAATAAATGCTTATTAATCTCTATCTGACATTACTCTTGTTGAATGTATTTGTATGATTATAGACAAAACAATTCATTTCTTTTATGTTGCTGGAGAGAATTTTATTTTAACTTTGTAGTAGCAAAGAATGACATCATTTGTAATGTCTTTCTTAGACTAGTGTAATGGTGTGCTTAATGCACTTTAGAGATTAGCATAATATTCTTAACAGAATTTCATTAAGCTTTGGTGGTAATAATTTCCATAATAACCACTGTCTGTTGCAAGTTCTTGTCGACACAGCATCATCACCTCCCCCCCCCCATCTACACTTTGCTTTTTAAAAAGCATTTAGAGAGCTGAGCAGGTTGTTTACAATGTTTGTGGCAGGCCTATGAAACCGAAATTAGATTCTTTCATCATTCATCTGTACAGATAAAATGAAATATTGTCATATCCTTTGCTCAGATAGTAAGAAGAAGTGAACTTCCAGCTTGTTAAAAGAAGCAAATAAATTCTTTTGAACTCAAGTTGGGTTTGCAGGTCCATTGAGAAGAACCTGTTTGCTTGTTTCACATCACGTGTCTTATGCATTTCTTTAGCAGGGAAAGATGAAGAAGAACAGAGGAAAAAACCCTTTGGTGGAGATAGAATGGGAGGAGAGGTGGGATATAAATGTAACAAAGAAATTGGGCCAAAGCTCCATCATGTCCAATGTTCTGTTCCCATAATGGCCACCAGTTGATTCTGGGAAGCCCAGGTGAGAGGAACAGCTTTGTAGATTTATGTATTTCACTGTAATTCAGTGTAACTATAAATAGTGTAACTATAAATGAACTTTTATTCTCCTTCTACCCACTGGTATTTGGAATGTCCCTTCTTGCATGCCATTCAAAGATCAAAAAGGATTATTGAAAACATTCCGTAGCTCTCAAGTACAGAAATCCTGGTGGATTTGCTCTCAAATTGTTAAGGACCATCCTGGCAAATATTTTATTGAATTGTCAGGTGATTCTGTATTACCCTTAGACATATGTTCTGCAGATTGTGTAACCTCAACCTTCATTATTGTGTAGTAATATACCATAATAATATTGTGCATGTACCCTACCCAATGCGAAGCATCTACGATTCCCATCCTGCATAGCTACTTGTGCTATAAGCTGGGAGAGAATCTGGGAGATTGATCAAATGATGGTCTAAAACTCTGGCTGTGTATAAAAAGTATAGCGAAACCTTGGTGAAGCTGGCCTGGAAGTCTGTGCTGCCTCCCACTTGTTTGTTTATCCTGATCTTGACTTTCACAGGCCTCATCATGTGAGGTTTCGTGCTGATTGTTAGCATTCCTTGATGTACTTTCTTTTGAGCTTTTGTTCTTGTTTAGAAGTCAAGGGGAAATGGACACTTATATAAGAGATACCTGCAGACAAAAGAGAGAAACTGCAACCTGATCCAATCGAAGAGATATTGACTGTTGCAGGAATTAAGGGATGGGTGGGGAGGGGGGAGAAGGATTTTGAATTATGTCTTTATTCATGCCTTTTGAGATACTGCACGCAGTAAATTCCATGTCT